TAAGGGAATTCCAAAGACTTAAAGCCCTCTGAGAGAAAAGAATGTTTCTGGATTTCTGTCTTAAATGTGCAACCCCTCATTTTTAAATATGACCCCTACTTCAAGAAACACTGCTTAAAGCATGGATGGGTGCTGGAAATCCAGAAATTTAATTTCAGTCTGCTGCTGTAAATATAAGGGAAACCATTAGAACCCCTGCAGGAACAGTATTAATAGCCATTTTCGGATATTTATCATTCCTTTTGAATTCCTAGCCAGCCACCTTGAACATCAATAGAATCCAGGAATGAAGTTTATAACATTCTAACAGTGCTGAATTTGAGAACTGTAATGCTTGGGAGGCAGCAGTAGATTGGAAACACAATTAGTGTAATGAAAATGAAACAGTTCTGTCTTGTTTTAGCTTCTTAGGGGCTCTTTCAATTACTAATTATAAGCTGTTTTGAAAATAAAACTAGCTGACGTGAGAATAGTCGCAAGTTTCACAAGATTGCAAGTTACTTAAAAAAGAGGAAAAATATTCAACCCATATTTGTTCAGTCATTCAGAATCACCCTTCAGAGCTGCCAGTGCAGCCCCTCCAATTGTTTCTTAAAAGCACCTAATCCATCTCTTGGACCATTTTCATTCCAAGCACTGGTCACTGTGTCCATTAAGGTATATCCTGTTGTAAGTCATAAAATAACTTTTTACTAGTCTGAACCTGCAACTCGTGGTTTATTTTCACTATGTATTTCAAAGTAGTAACACTGTTTTGTCTTTTTACTTAGTTTCTTGTGTACTTTTTATGATCATCTCTCACATCTTTCCTACCAGTTAAAAAAATCTTTGCCCAAGCTATTTTCTCAAAAATCAGTTCCCAATACAAGGGCTGAACTTGGCAGCTCTCTTCTGCGCTCCCATCAATCCTTGCAAAACTCCCTGGTGTCAAAAATAAAGGTAAATATAAAACGAAAACAATTGAAAATGTGTCAGATGAATTCAGGGGTGCATCTCAATCTGCTTGTTGATTGCAGATTGATTGATCAACCACTTCATTAACATTCCAAGATTACTTTCTGCTTCATCCTCAGCTATTTCAATATCATTCATGGAATAACTATTTTGCTTACGTTTTTATTCATGCCGCTGTGCCTTACAATTTTGTCAAATTCAATCAGTAATTTCTGAGTCGGTTCTACTGTTGCTGTCTTGTGGGTATCATTAGTGAATTTGTGAATGTT